TCTTATTCTCCACGTTGTATAAGAGCTTACCCTCTAAGCATCTTAGGGCAAGTTTTCACCCTTGCTTCTCCAGCGAGCGCACGGTAACGTTCGTCGAACCGGCGATCACGGTGATCGTGTACGTCGGCGAAGGGATCGGCCGAATCCATTCTCGATGAATGAAGATGTCCGTTTTTTTTCTTAGGATCTTCTAACCTTCGGACGCTGTTATTCTAGTCTTAAGATCTTCATTGATATAGTCGGAAAAACGAAGTACCATGGTATTGTATACTGACGTAATAATATTAAAGATATCGATAATTTTTTTGAAGAAATAATAATTTCGACAAGTCGATAAAAAATTCCTACACAGACAAATTCTGAAGATATAAATAACAAAATCACATTTTTATTGCCAATTGAATTAATTGCACGTATATATTAATTCTGGACAGGAAATGACAGAAACTCAATTTCTTTATTTGATTTGAAATCGTAGAACAGCCGGAATAGGCGGAAATACCGATGATCCTGTATTCTTGGCGCGCTATCTAGATATGTCAGCTCACACAAATGCGAGGAGTGCAAGAGAGTAGCTTCAGATGCTATTAAGATACTTCGTTGGCTACGGTGCGTGATCTAGCCGCTATGAATCGGCTAACACTTAGATTTAGAAGGTTTCGTCGCGTGGTCGGTGATCTTATAAGCACCAGCTGGAAGGTTATCTCATTATGTCTTATCCGTTGTTTTCAACGAGCGTAAGCTTAGCAACACCGAAAGAGCTTAAATTGCACGCGAGCTTACGGACAATAGCGTGCTTTGCATGCATGAGGCAATGCGCAGCGCCCGAGAAAACCGAAGGCTATCGGTATTCTCGATCGATTGATCGTAAATACGTAACGAGCGAGAACAATCGATAGCTTTTCATCCCTTAATCAATCGAATGTAACGCATTGCGCGTGGAAGACACCGATGACAAAACCTCAGCAAACATTAATCCGAGAACTTGGCTGACTGGGATGGACCGAACGCGCTCGTTAGCGGGAGGAAAACAAAAGCGACGCGACAGGGCAGGGAGAGGGGAAGGGAGAAAGAGGACGGGTGTCGCAGATAAAGACTTTGAAAGAGCCGGCTCGCTTATCTGTAAAGACCGACATCCGCCGGATCAGCCTCAGATACCGAAACCACCCACACTTTCCTTCTGGTGCACGCGCTTAGGCTAAGTTCCGAGGACGGAAGCAGCCGACTTCCAGGGATCGCGAATTCCGCCGCACGACGCCGCGCCGCCGCCGCGCGCAGCTGGGCTCTGATATCCCGGTGGCGCGACATTCTTTGGACATGCAAATTGCAAATTGGGTTTTTCGGCCGCACGCGCAGATCCCAGATCCCGAGAGCAAAGTCGGGCGCGGGTCAACCGAGAAGAATAGTATTATTCGGACGATTTGAACGTGGCTTCGTAACCTGATTCGATTTCGAGAGATTAAGCCGAGTCGTCTTGGATTACCGAGTCATCAAGACGCAGAAGAAACCTTAAGACTAACGTTCCCTGGATATGCACTGAGTTTGCGCTTATTCATTTCAGTCGTGGTATTTCAGATAAAAATGTCAGACGAGCGATAATTTCCTTCTATCTTTTAACAACATATCTTTTAACTTATATCCTCCAGCCTGGATAAGCACAAGTGCAACTCAAGTGACTTAGTGAAGTAGTCGATGCATCCTCTCATAGATTGTAACTTAGAAATTCTTAAGACTTTTTATGGTTTTAACTACACATAATGTTACGTAAAACTATTTATTGATTTTTTTTCTAATTTAATTATTTCATGACTCACGAAAGTACGTTAAAGACAGTCGAGCACTTGAACGGATTATAGCTGCTTCGCCTCCTAATTTAAACAATTAAATTTAAGGGTTAAATACCTAAATTAAAAATCTAACTTCTTATCCTCTTTTTAAGCCATTGAGAAATTAAATTCATTTTCTTTTCCCTCTCCTTCGTTTGCTCTACTTAATCGCATCCGAGCACACAGAGATAGCGGCGGAAACGTCACTGTCGATGAATCTAAATGGCGTGTGCTTTTCCCGTCAGTGATTTAGAAAGATCCTCGGTAATCTCGGAGCGCGCTGGTAATCATCTCGCGCGCAGAAAACGAGGGTCGCGAAGAGAGACGCGGAAAGAAATATTCGGTGGTGATTCGTTGGCCGTACCCCCCTTCAAATCGCGTTTTCCGTGCCGAACGCGGCCATTATCGCGGCGGTGCGGAGCGCGCGATAGCGGGGTGCCGAAAAATATGTTCCAACTTTTTATCTTGTATCTGCACCACCGCCTCGGTGCAGAACTGAGCGTTCTGTTAATTTGCGAAGTCGTGACTTTCATAACCACGCTAGAGTCAGTCGCGATGTGTTCGGCCACAAAAGCGGATTCCGCGAAAGAAAAAGACGAAATGTTAGGAGCTTTCTTATTTATTTTTTTTTTAATATAACATGTCTTAAATATATTTTTTAATACCTTTGCTGGGAATTAATTTTAATAAATTGTTACATATCTATTTATAATTTCTTTTATTGCCAAGTTTAAATTTCTTATTTTATGTTATTCTCAGCTGTGCTTAACCAACGGGATTTATAATTTTATAATTAAGTATTTCAAAATATTTCTCGATTTTTTTTATTTAAATATTATTACGCGAGAGAGAGAGAGAGAGAGAGAGAGAGAGAGAGAGAGTGATATATGTCAAGTCAATGATAAGTAAACGTCACTGAGGCAAGACTTAACAATACGAGAAATCGCTAACGCGAAACGCAAGACGAAGCCGTCGTGATGAAAAAGAGCCATCGAGAGAAACTGGTTTCGCTTCTTCAAGGGTTGCCCTTCGGATGAATCTTATCTTTCGACGAGAGCTGTCAAAGACGAAGCGGCATGACGCTTCCGTCGTGCGGGAAGATAACCGGAAGCCCGATAGGTTCTGCACCAGAAATGAGAAATGTCTTTGCCGTTGCAGAGATTAAAGATTTCGCGGATGAGTGGTTGCTACCGCTTCCATTTCTTCTTTCGCGTTCTTCAAGATAAATTTTCGACGCGTTTTGTTGCAACGTACACAAAAGTTTAATTAAACAATTAAAAAATGCACTTTAAATCTTACAGAAGTTATATTTTTAATTAATCTCTCGATTCTGTTTTTAAATCGAATCGTTACCTTAATTAATTCTCTCAGTCAGCGTTACTTCAGATTTATGGAAAAAGGGATCTCAAATTGTATAATAAATCTCGTAAACGGTCACTTTCGTGATCGGGGAGCGAGTATATCGTAGACTCCGCGTCGAGACGACGCGTCGGTAATAAACAGAGCGCGTAATACGATGTCCCCGCGATTAAATCCTGCGGCGTAAAAGCCCACCTTAAACCAGCTGATCCCGGTACAAAGACGACGCAAGGACGGGGCGCCTTAATGAAAACTATACGTCCCTAGATTAAGGTGGACGCTGGTCAGCCTTCGGACCCGCCAGATACGACCTGTCTTATGCAACGTAGGGAGCGGGCTCTATGATGTCCGGCGTATTAGATGGAAGTTTCGGCCATTAATACCTAATATCATGCCGCCGGCAGTAAATCCTTTGTTGGTCATCTTTGACGGGGACTTAACGCCTTGCATCAAGAGACATTCGACCTATCTATCAATCCTGATACAATCCAATATTGCACTCTGATTAGCTTATCGGGTTTGCAGTGCAATTTCAATATCAATTTAATCAATTTAATCTCACAAATAAATCTGTTGGAAAAAAATTGAATCTATTATCCTACTGTAGAGATATTACTCTCTATTACAGTTTCTGAATTTTAAGTTGATTTCAACCGAGCGAAAATAAAGTTATCACTTTGAATAGCCTTTCGTAATTAAACTGAATTTCTCTATTGAAGATATTAAAGCTACATCGTTAGTTGTTTGAAAAGATACGGCAACTGTAATATACTTGCATCCCTTCACTCGCCATTTCTTCACTATCTTTGCTGCAGATGCGCGTTTCAGTACACGTTGACTAATTCGTTGATTTCGTAAAAAAAAAATTAAAAAAAAATACACTTGTGCACTCCGAACAATGCGGAATATATGAACACGTTGGTAAACAGCACGTTACGTAATCCTATCGAAAATTTGATAGTGCCCTTTAACGGATAAACGTAGGCATCGTACAATCAGTGAAATTGTGCGAGCGGGACTCTCCCTCTTCCCCTCCCGTCTCCTGCAGTCTTTCTTTCATCGTCCCTCTATGTTCCTTCTCGCACTCCATTTCCTCGGTTTCGCAGAAGTCTGGGATTATGACCTGGAGTGGGATAGACTCCCGGACTTAAGTCAGGGTTACACAAGGATCGCAGCTATTGTGCCATCGCACAGGTCCCATTGTCTCGGGATAGACGAGTGGATCTGCATATGCTTAGCGCCCGAGTTAAACTTCTCTCTCTTCCTCCAGCGCTTCGCATCGTCCTTCTCCCTCACTCCTCCGTCTTCTCTCGGCGATCTTCAATGCGCGCTCCGCGAATCATCCTGCCCCCCTTGAATTTGGATGCCGAAACGCCGAAGACTATACCCTATTGTCAGCCGGATGTACAGGAACTAGTGCTTCAGCTGAAGCTACCAGACGATTTGAAGCACTCGTGGACTCACGGAGCCTTCGCGAAGATATTTGGCTTTTGCATTGAATTAATCAGGCTTGCTATAACAAGTCTTCGAGAGAAATCGTCAAATATTTCATATTTGATAATTTAAAGCAGTTATAAAGAAGTATAGATCGACGTAATTGTATAACAAATTATATATCTTGTATTCCATCGAAATTCCAAAAACGACTATGGAATTTTTAATGAAATATTTGCATTACATGCAACCGAGTCACGTAAAATGACGTAATTGTTAGCTAATTTGTTACCCATGGTAAATTTGTTGCTCCATTGTTATCTGTAATGAGAGCGGATTGTCGAGTGTGTTACTTCACGCAAACGCTTTTGTCTGTCGCAGCGAAAAATCTGCCGGTGCATTGTGTGGTGGAGACGATTCACAATATCGTGGAAAGCCATGTGAGCAACAGCCGTGAAAAATGGCGAAGTCCCCAAGTGGAGACGGACTCTTACGTTATTATTCCGATAGCTATGCCCTTTCAGGTAAGAATCATTTCCTTTTATTGTACGTATTGTTACTGTTATATGCACTACTAAGAAAATTGTGAAACTTGTTGAGAATATAATTCGCTACTTTAACAAATTAAACTTTTACGGTGGAAATTAAAGAAATTTACTGTTTAAATAAAGTCAAATTAATATCAAATTAAATTTACAAGGAAATTAAAATCTTCTTTAAGAACGCAGTTAGTCCTTTAAGTACTGTTAGTCGTAATACAAATCAGGTAGTTTCAAGAGAGAGAAAAATTTCTTCGATTAAAATTATTAGAAATATTTAGATATGAAGATATATCTAGACCACATTAATAATAGCTTCGTTTTTCCGCTGACAGGATTTGGTAGGTGAGGCGCTTGTTCGCCTAGGATACTCTAGCGATCTGATACCAAGTGCTAGGGGGAGCATCGTTATACGTAACTGGAAGCCTCTACCGATGGAAAAAGTCGCCGATGGACCACTACTGACAGTGGGAGATATTCTGGCCGAACTGACGTCGGTGGCGACCCTGAAGATTCAGGTGTACAGATCCAGGCCGCCACCTCCCAGTCCGGCAGCTGAAGTTAGAAATAAATTGCTGAGGTTGCTTCTGTTGCACAGCCATACGCTCCTTGTTTCCGCCGGCTGCCCTTTGGACGAGGTAAGGTTTCGAGATTTTAAGTGACAAAATTTATATCTTTCGACGGGCATTTGGAAAAAAAGAAACGAACGTGATTCCATTACATTCAAGCATTTTCTTTAAAAAAAAAGCGTTTACAGTAACGAAATGAGAGATTTAAACAAAAAACCATATCTTTTTATAAATATAAAATTCTAAAATATTGGAAAACATTTCCTTCGCATCTGACGTAACATTATTTTTCTTCTTAAATTTCTTAAATATTTCTTTTAATAAAAGCGAAAGTACGGAGAGAGAAAAATATCCTAGGAAAAGGAGAAATATATAATCTGTATATAAAGGTGAGTTTATTTGAAGAACGAGGTTAAATAACGGCGTACCGAGAGAATTTAAGGGCCATTCGAGGCGAGATCGGAGCAGGGAATATTCGTAGTAAGGCGACCGCTTAAAAATGTATAAAATGTAAATCTAGCCAGAGAGTGTTTGTCGTCGGGGCACTTAATCTCATTAAGAAGTCCTCCGGCTCGGTACCCTTGTACCTCCCGGTAAGAACGGCAAGTGGTAATCTTCGGTAGATTCTTGCTCGCGGCTCGCTGATCCTCACCTTGAATAAATGCTTTCTTGGTTTCGAATCACCAGTCGAGAAGTCACCGCGCTTTTGGTAGCTTTCGTTCCCGCGCGAATCGAAATGTTCGAATAACGAAGCTTTCCCCAATCCCGATATTGGTCTCACTCCAGGGTATTTTACGTACATTTGCAATGTTCATTATTTTAATCAAGCCAATTTTTAGTCGTTACCATTTGCATTTATTTCTATCCTAAAAACAGCGAAAACAGACATTTGCCTGAAGCCATATCTTAATCAAGATTTTAAAGAAGAAGCAGGCAGTTATGATTATTTAACGGCAAAGTGAGTTTTATCACAGTGTCAACATTTCGCTGACGGTTCGACGGTTTTTGCATAGCTGATTCGACAAAAATTTATTAACTTCATTGCGCGAACTATAGCGGCTCTCACTCAATCTTTAGCTCCAGCGACGAAACCCAGAGTAACGTAATCCCGACCATTCCAACTAACGTGAAATTTTTTCTCGCGATGACTTTTTCGAGAGGTTTATCCCGCGGTCGGGCTCTACCCCGACCGTTCCCCGAAGATTGAAATAGACGCGCGATTTTTCGGGTTGGTCCGCACGCGCAGACGTGCCCTTCCGACAGCGGAAGATCTCGTAGCGTGTGATAGGATTACCCTTTACTCAACCAAATTCGCAGCCTTCATCAAAAGCCCCCTCGATATCGGTTTCGGGGGCGAGAGAGAGAGAGAGAGAGAGAGGAGAGGTACCCTGCCGTCTCCTCCGAGCCGGCATTATCTAAGTGCACTCTCTTTGAAGATCCCGCTACCCGCCCATCCCCGAACTTTAATGCCGCTCACGGTGGTCTATGATTACCAATTTTCCCCGGCAAACGTTTCCTGCTTGAGTTTCGTAGCCCGACGGCTAATGGCGAACCGCTGTGATGGAGAACCGACGTCTCTCGCATAGATTTGGCTTAATCTGACGATGATGCACGAAGACGTGCCGCCGAGCGTACTTCCTTTCTCGCTTCTCTTTACGTACGATATTCCTCGACAATGGCACAATTTTTTTGGAGAAAAAAGAGGGAGATTCTAAATTATTCTATCACTCGCGCTTATTTTATTACTGTGAAGAAATTTGAAGGTTCAGAAATTTTCCGTTTATAGCCATAAATTTTTTTACAAAGATAAGGGATTTTTTTTCTCCAAAGAGAGAGAGAGAAAGAGAGAGAGAGAGAGAGAGAGAGAGAGAGAGAAAGTAGAACGACATAGACATAGTTATATCTGATACATGCTTTTATTATTATTAACTCTTCTCAATATTAAATTTCAAGTTAAAATTTGAGATAAAGCTTCAAATTAAATGCCTATTAAAGCTCTAAAGAAAAAGATAAATAAAAAATATTTTGCTGCCTTCTGCATTCCGCGAATTTTATCTTGATGCAACGATGTTTATCGCGAGCTTGATACCAGTTATTTCTGGTATCCGTGACTCAGATGAAGTGCACAATTTGTGGCATTCGGATATATCAAAATTGCTTTCGTTGGCGAATGATTAGAATTTTAAACATGCAAAGTCATGCAAACGAGGAGCATTTAAAGCACACATGATTTTTGAAAAGTACTCGGCGCTCGTATTTCTTTCGGGATAATGGAAAGTTTCGGAAAGGTAATAAATACTTTTCAAGGGGCTCGGGCGTGAAATTCGCATTAATTGGGATCGGCAAACATAAATCATCAGTGTCAACGCGATTTCAGACAATAAAAAGCAACAAAATCTGCTTTGAATCCTATTTAGTTTGAAATGTAGAACAGTGATGTTAACAGACGTCGCCTGATATATCAGGATTAGGGCTTAACCGTATTTATAGCGCGGCAGCGGCATTTGATTTATTTACTATATATTTTTTGCAAAATATTTTTTCGTACATCCCGAAATCTGGTTTACTTTTTTACATAAATACATGTACATGTATGTTTATGTGTAAAGGACTAGATCTGATTAATTGATCAATTTCTAAGTTTGTAAGTCTGATGTTATCTAGAAGAATTATATTCGAAAGCCATAGCAACAGTGTTCCCGATATATACGCGTCGCGAATTTCGCGAAATTGTTGCGATTCTCGCGGATTGTTTGATCTCTCGGTCCCGTGATCGCGATTGATTTACCACTGTTCTACGGATCAGCCGATTGCTGTGCGCAATCACATCTTAAATAATAAATACGTGTAAATCAGGCTCTCGAATCGCGCGGCGCAATGTCGTCAGATAAGCCGGCCGCCCCGCTTTCGACGGCGTACCCACTGTTTGCCGAACGATTTCTGAAATCTTGAGAACGCCTGTCAAGACTCGCGCCTCGCCTGCCTACCTGGAGTGATTAAGTGCGGTGTCGTAAAACTGAGGCGGATGAGAATTCGAGGAGGTGACTAGCGGGAAGCCGACGGCGACCGGATAATTGTCGTCTTGGCAGTATCTGACGCTACCAAGGTGCCAGGGATACGCGACGGATTACCGCGTTATTAAAGTGGCGTCGAGCGCCTGATCTTCCAGCCCGGAGATATATTTGTTCTTATAAATCATCGGCCAGATAAGGTGCGCGTACCGCTTCCTGAGGCGCGAAATTTTCCATAATCTGTCATCTTAATGCCGTGACGACGGTGACGTTAAACGTTAAACGACGCTTTGTAACGCCTGCCCGCGTCAACAACCGACGAGGAATCGATTGTCGGAAGAATTTGAATTCACGTAATAAACCCCACCCGGTAGTTTTGCTTCAATTTGCAGTACTCTTATACTTTTGTCTTATCTCAAAAACAATATGCATGATGATACGAAAGACTGCATTGTGTTTACGATTACGTGCCATGCAGCTTACGACTTATAACTTTTTAATAAAAAAAATCTTAAAATGTATGTGGCAAAGCAAATCGAGAAAACAAAGATAATTTTAACAATCATTACCATCATAATTATTTATTAATTTTTTTACTTTTTGCGGGATTTATTATTCGAAATTAAATGTCATTAATTAGCAGTTGCTAATGCAGGAAAAGTAAGGGCTATGACGATTGCGTCGCCACTTTACTTTAGTTGCAATTATTAAATTTGCAAATTATTAATATATAATACTGCACGCGCCTGATAATTAAATTTGCAAATTATGAATACATAATACGCGCCGAATTATAATACAAATAAAAATCTTAAATCAATCACGGACGTATACTCGTGTATTGTGTTTTGTATACTTAGACTGTGATCGGACTCAAAGATTTAAATCAATCGATCTCTCCATCACATTCACACAGATCCTAATCAATCCACTATAATTAGTGAATAATTATAAAACCAATGGGCTTTGAAGAAAGAATCACGTTTCTTTCCTCTTGCAGATGACCCTACTGTCCCTCTGTCGAGGCGGTAACGATCTGTCGGAGGAGACAAAGAGAAATTTCGAAACGTGGCTGCAGCAGCAGCAGATAGGTCTCGGCATGAACCCGATAGCACCCACTTCCAATCATCATCATCACACGCAAAGTCCGCAGCCCGACAGCGGTGGCACGATCGCTCCCGGTGGCGGCCCGATCGGACCGCCCCACCCGGCGCTCCTTCAGTATTCGCACAAGACCAGGATGAGGACCAGCTTCGACTCGGAGCTCGAATTGCCGCGTCTCCAGCGTTGGTTCGCCGAGAATCAGCATCCGTCGCGCGAACAGATACAGCACTACGTCGCGGAATTGAACTCCCTGGAGTCGCGCCGCGGCAGGAAGCCGCTGGACGCGAACAACGTCGTGTACTGGTTCAAAAACGCCAGGGCGGCGCAGAAGAGAGCCAGTATGAACGGCTGCAGTCCACCCGGACTCAGCCCGAGGGGTGCCAGCATCGTCAGCGAGGACTGCACGGACGAAGAGGAGGACACCAGGCATCAGGTGCGTAAAAGAAGAAATTGAAAATATAATTGTAAACGTTAGAGAGAGAAGATTAAATATTTAGAAGTTTCAAGAAACGATGTACTGAAATCTTCACAATAGAGACATCTTTGCCAAATATATGGCAAATAGTAAAAAATAAAAATTGGAGCTTTCGGAATATTTTACGTAAGAATGTTCAATACGCTTGACGGACTCTACATAAAACCCAAAAGAAATAAGGTTCTTAATCGCTGCTTTCAGTCGACATCCGGGTCACCCTGTCCACCGAGCAGTCCACCTGTCGGTCCTCTGTCCTTGACTACGAGACCCGAGGACCAGCAGCAGCCGCCGACGTCGACCCCGTCCTCGGTGAAGCAAGAGGACGCGAGGGTGTCCTCCGGTTCCGAGGACGACGAGACCAGGCACACGGGCCCAATTCCGCCAGGATTTTCCCTGGTGCCCAGCCCCATGTTCGGCCACGGTATAATGTACATGTCGCATTATCTGCCGCCACGCGGACCAGCCGGCTGTCCCACCAGCATGCTGGCCGACGAGAGAAGGAAGAGGAACCGGACGTTCATCGATCCCGTGACGGAAGTGCCGAGATTAGAGTATTGGTTCAAGCGGAGCACTCATCCAAGCCACGCGGTACGTATAAATCGATCGTATATGCACGTCGTTATCGCGCTAATTTGTCTCTCCTTCGACGGCGATATTAACGTATTACGAGAAATTTCTGTAGATTATAATAGCACGTTCGTAGATACAATTACACGATGAGCAAAAAATATTTTCGCTTATCTTTTTGCAAATAAAATTTCATTCATTCAAAATATTTTATTCATAAAGACAATTATTCTGTTTTACGTGCATTAGAGTAAACTTCGCGAATTATGAAAAAAAAAGTACAATTAATCGATATTTAAACCTTCTTGCTTAGAAATTTTTTTTTTAATAACTCCATTAAATGCCGCTGCTAGAAATTTTCAACTTCTATTAACTCCCACTTTTCACGGGAGATTTGCTGAAAACGATTTTACGATCGGTCCGTAGCTCATTCTGTCGTACACGGAGGAGCTGAACAAGATGCCCTATCGCCAGAAGTTTCCGCGTCTGGAGCCGAAGAACGTGCAATTCTGGTTCAAGAATCGCAGGGCCAAGAATAAGCGGCTGAAGATGGCTCTGTTCGAGGGCGAGTCGCCGCAACAGCATCCATATCACGCCGACTAGTTAATTTCCTTAAATAACGTTGACTAGCGAAGCGCGAGAGGTGCCCAGAGCCTTCGCACGGCGGAGGAAATGAAGGGAAATCGTTAACCGACTTGTTACTCCTTACTATCGTTGACACGCGGTTTTAAACGCTTACCGGCCGCACATTCATTGTAATTATCACGTAACAATTAATATAATTATTATGGACTTTCATGAGTGTAAATACGAGATGATGTCAAATAAAAAGGTATACGTCACGACAAAATAATATTACTGAGCATCTGCCCTTTGCGCCAAGTGCAAATTGGCGGAAACGTATCGATATAAAAGTTGATGATGGCATTTTTCCAGACGATTAATATTTATAATTAATTTATGTATTGATTATATACCTCGATATAAAGGCAATACTGGAAGAATAGAAATAAATATGGATCGTCTACGAACCTACATGAATATTACATCAATTTATTAGAATTCTTTTTCTAATTTTCAAGCTTATTACAAGTTTATTTATCGAATTAACGAAATATACTTTATTTTATTATTCCCCAATTGATTTCCAGGGAAACGTCATACGGCAAATTTCTTTTTCGACGAATTGCTAATGAATTTTCTGCAGCTCGTCGTCCCTCACACAAGAAGAAGAACCAACCGAGAGAGGTAAGAGCTTTAAAAGCGATTCGCTCGTTCGTCTCGCAAAGGGCGAGTACGATAAATCGCCAAATGGGTGCTTCGCGAGTTTCGCAGAGCCTGTAATAATACATATACGTCTAAAACGGACACGACGGTGTGTTCACGCGCGCGTGCAATAGAAGCGCGCACAACGATACTGTCTCCAAGTCTACGAATGCACAAAGCGGCCGCCCCGACCGAAATCTCGCAGCTAAGATAAGACAGCCGAGCTGTCATCGAGTCAACCCTAACTCAAACGTCACAATAGTCAATGAGTCTTTCTCTAAAAGCGGCGGTACTATCTGTCTACGGCGCTACTCGCGTTTTCGCTCGCGGGAGTTTCAGGGACAGTAAGACTGCGGATGCGGCAAAGGGAATGACAAAGAGACCGGACGGAAATACGGTGTATTGACGGATAGTGAAAAATAGACAAGCGCAGGAGGGGGCGAGGGGATAGTCAACCTTTTCCGTTGCGCGTATTTTTATTGGTATATCATATCCTTTTTGCGGAAGGACAATGTATGTATATCATTAAGTTTCCGTTTTCATCGATAGCGCGTTTCAAAGAGCAGTTTAATCGCTATTAGTGTATTATAAATATTCTGCTGAACTGCCGTATAGGGCAAGTGATTATCGAGCGGGATTGGATCCTTGTAGCAATATGCGGATTTTCAAGACGCGCTCCGTTTGAGTAGCGAAACGGAAGACTTTCGCGTTTAAGTGGCGTAGCAATGCGGAAAGACGATGCCGAGGGGATATCGTTGTCATCTGCGACACGCGCACAGGACCTGTCGTCCTGGCGGGCCCGCCCGGGGAAGGGGGACGGGAGGGGCGGGAGTCCCGGATTTAATGAGGATAGGCGGATTTGTCCAATTAAAACGTCTTACAAGGATCCATCCGGGTCGACGCTCATTCGCAAAACATCGAATCTAGACTTTGCCGCAGCAGCCTCTTCTTATCCCCGCGCTATATAGGTATCTACCTACCGTTATCCCTCTCGTTATCGTTATCGGGCTCCGCCTTCCCGAACCCGAGCAGCGGCGGGGCAGACAAGGATTTATGGAACTTGTTTCGAGAGTGCCGTCGGTATCTGCGAATGTCGTGCAGATTCTACCGCGTCATCGAGCAAAACACAATTCACGATCGAGGGTGAGTGGATTGGCGTTACATCGTTGGCAGTCTATTAAAAGTGACGAGATCTTATATGGATTACAATGTTAGGGCGCAATCTCTCGTTGCGATACGTTACGCGTAAATATATTATAAACGCAAATTATAAAGAATAATCGCGTAAAATACCTGAAGTTAATAAAATCATTGCTTCTTAGCTGGCTTTTTCGATCATAATTCAATCAATTCAATTTTCGATCGGATTTCAATTTTAAATAAGTATAACGTTAGAAATTTTGATTTTTTAATACAGGTTTTGAACAAGTTTTTTTTTATTATTTTACTAATTATCAAATTTGGCATGTAAAATAACGAAGTTTGTTTATTTTTTTGTTATCATCATCGTACCTTGGAATTTCGTTTCTTCGTACAAACGAACGTCGAGAATCTTCAATCGGAAGGAAGCGAAAAAAGAGCAGGTTGGTCGATCGGATAAGAAAATTGCTGCTGCGCCGAAGAGCATGAAGAACCAAGAGGGAACAGTGAAATGGCAGCGGAGGAAGGGAAGAGAGAAGGAACGTCTTATGAAAATCTGAAAGTCAGCAGCCCGGAGGATCATCCCTCTATCTGATCTTAATTTGTCAGGTCGCACGCGGACAATTTAGACCGCACCATTCGCACTAAATCGTTATGAAAAATGGCCAGTTTTGCTAAAATTAGCTTTCTACCGTCATCGACGTATATAATAAAATTTCTGCTATGAAAGACATGCTCGTGACAATGTTGATCGGTCATCGTTACATTAAAATATTTTTTCAAGATTTTTATAATATTTCAATACATAAAATTATGTTACCTAAATAGATTATGTTACCTAAATCTTTTGAAAAACAAGCAACAAACTTATTGTTAATATTAATAGTAACAATAATAATAATAATAAATCTGATAGTATAATTGAAACTTGGTCTTGCTAAAAAAAAAAAAATAATTGAAATTACGAAAGAATCCATTTTTAAATTTCAATAAAATATTATTTTAGACGAATACGTCTTTTATTGTATTTTTTTAAATGCAACATAATGAACAAGAAATGTACACGCGACGATTAATCGGTTACAATATGTATGGTGAAATTTATTGGAATAAATTCCTGGCGAGTTACGCAATAGCAAGCGAGTTGCGGACGGGTGACAGCCGACAAATTGCGAACGATCGAAGGGAATTTAGGATTATTTAGGACCGACGAACGTGGCGACGATGCAACACGAGTTAGACATTGCCCTTTGCATTCCCACACGATCGTACCTACACGAAAAGTATCCGCGAGACGTAGGTACACGTCGCTCCAAAGGAGCATTGTGTATGCTTTGGCATTCAGAGGACGTTCTTATCTGCCTATCCGGGGAGCTGTCAGCAAAGTTCCTGAATAATAACAGAGAGCTTGTGAAAGAGAAAGAGAGAGACAGGGAGTTATAGGTAGAAACACACACACAGAGAGAGAAAGAGAGAGAGAGAGAAAGAGGAAGGAGGAAGGGAGAAAGATAGAGACAGTGAGAGAGACGATGAGAGGGAGAGCCGCGCGGTTCTGCTATCAGCCGCAGCTAGGATATGCCTAACTATTCTGTTTCCATGCGGCTGCCGGACGTTTCGTCGTAGATAATGTTGGCCAGGATGGTTAGATTGTTGGATGCGATTGATAAGAACCGAAAATGCCCTCCGCCGCTGAATCGGATTGTAACGAACGCGCGTAGAAGCGAGCCGGCTGCATATAAGAACGTCGCCGCGTCCCATTAATTATTCATTCACAGACGCGGACGTAAGTGGTATCTCGTGAGCGTAACTTTTCCTACAAAAATAGTTGCTAAAACATGTGTCGCAAATGTCAGTGAGGTATGCGGTAGCTCATTGCTTATGCGTTCCACGACTAAATATACATAATTTGTGCGTTTGCGAACGTGAATAATCATAACTGGATACACAGACTTGTTGCATTGACAGCGCTTAAATACAAATTAATGATATGTGAATAGATTTACGAGGATGCAAAACTTTTGAGATTTAAAAATTGTAAGCAACTAGAATGAACACCTGAACAAATTCTACGTTTAAAGAAATTTGCGTAAATGAAATGGCATTAATATGTGACAAGAGGAAAGACCTCCTTTCCGAGAGTTAGGCGAAAGAAACAACGGTAAAATAGTTAGAAGGGAGACCGGAGAGCGGTTTGGATGAAGTCACGAGATAGCGGAGGGGTTTGAGAATTCGAGAGCTCGCAAATTAGCCGCAGGATTGGCCTCATAATCCTTGAGGGATGCTACGGTCGGCGACGCGGCTTCCATCTTCTTGTCCTGCTCTCATTTCTCGCTCTCTCTCTCTCTCTCTCTCTCTCTCTCTGTCTGTCTCTTTCTCTTACTACATCTTCCTCTTTTCGTCTTACGAGGGTAGCTGATGAGGTCATATAAACGAACTCCGCTCTCCCCTTCTTATTCTTTAATCCTACCCCTCCCTGCACTCGCGCGGCTATACCTAAAAATTACGAGTGGCGAAGAAGAGGACGACCGGCTGAAGGCCAACGATTGAAAGTAATGAGCCGTGGAAGGAAAATCACCAAGGGGTAGGCCGTATTCTCCGCGAGTAATCCGATGGTCGGATAATTAATCCCGTTAATTTATCGGCACCGACTTCTGACGATGCATTCGTGCGTGTGAAGAAAGAATAACCGGACGAAACGCGAACGTTTTTTCTCATTTACTGAGAAATAAAGCATAGCCGTAATGTCCGGCCGAAGACATTGATCGCGATCTTAATGAGAGTATCCAAAAAGATTACAACGGTGCAATTAGGTAGAACAATCGGGAAAATATTTTCTAGAAATACATTTTCATTTCTTGTTTATATTTAATTCTAAAATGTATAAAATGTGTCTTGTTTATAATATATTCTAAAATGTATAAAGGTGTGCATTATGAAAAACGTTTTAATTTCTCTACAGAAGGAACGGAGAAAATCGACGTGAAATTATCTATACGCGTTTTACAAGACGAAGGCGATTGCATAATAATAGAGCCAATATCGATCTTAATTCCACGAAAGCTTAAAGGGGCAGAAATCGCGGGGTGGTGGTACCACCGTGATTTCGGACGGACCTAGCGACGACGGCTTAATTGATCTACTGCCGAATGTTACACGATCGGACGGGGGTATTAAGCCTCGGAGAGTGGACGCTTAGCGGTCATTGGCCAAGATCTATCGCGAGAATAAAGCCCAAGGAGAGGAGATCATACCACTTAGCCCGCTCGACGCGCGGGAGCTCCTTTCGCGAATCGTAAATAAAAGAAATCCTTGTAATGGCCTTTGGCGAAGATCCTCCTACCATTCACCGCCCCCTCGGCCCGTCCCGTCGACGAGCGATCCTCACCCCGGTTATTAAGCCCCGGAGGCAACCACCCCGGCGTATCAGAGGCTCGTAGGCCCGAA